ACCATTCTTGCACCGAGGGCTCCTCTCCCACTCTGGAGATTTCCTCTTTTGTCTTCCAAGAGATATTAATGACTCTAGCCCCTGGAAGTTCTCTCTCATTTTCTGAGTTGTTACTCTTTTCCCATCCTTTCTTTTCTGTTTGGTTTTACCCAAAATAATTTCATAGCCTCCTCTAACCATTACAGCAGGTTTGACTTCTCCATCATTGCCCTATACTGGCATTTACCTCATCCTCCCAGCTGATTATTATAGTGAATAGAGTGCTGGAGTCAAGAAGACCTAAATTCAAATTCAGCCTCAAACACTAGTTTTATGACCTCAAGTAAGTCACTTAATCTCTGTTTGCCTCAGTTTCCTCAACTCTAAAACAGGGATAACAAACACCATTAACCTCAAAGCATTATTATCAGTATCAAATAAGATATTTGTAAAGTGCTTAGAACAGTTCTTAGCACACAGTAGGCTTTATATGAATGCTTATTCTCCCCCCCATCCCCCCCCCATCTAAAAGCCATTTAGTCTGGGATAATGAGACTTGGTTTATCTTGATCCTTTCCCCTGGATCTGATCTCCCCATGCCAGACTAATTACTTGTTCTTTTTCCACACTATACACACAAAAGGAGCTCTTACCAAAATTTCTTTAAGTAGGACCTACAATTCTTACAAGAAACAGAATGGTGTCATAGATAAAAGCTAGACTTAGACCAGGAGGACCTAGGTTAAGATCCTGTCTGACACTAGCTGTAATTTCATGTCTAACCCTCAGTTTCCTCAACTATAAAATGAGAGACTTGAACTAGATAGCCTCAGAGATCCTTTCCAACTCTAAATCCACCTCCCTGACACCAAGTTTACTGTCAGAACAGAACATAAAAATTGCCTAGGGCCAGTGAAAAACTAACATCTTTCCCTGACACAAACTATCTTTTCTAGTGTCATATTTAAGGGTCAGAGTTTACATTCCATCCCAAAGGGGAGTAACTAGTTAGAACTGGTATATCTAGGGCCTACCATCAGTCAGAGAAATGGTACCACACTGAGGCAGAAATAATTTCTAAGGAATCTCAATGCTATATAGAGAAAAGTAAAACGATTCTTAATGTAAGAAATGCTTCTAAGTTGATCACTCTATGGCTTCTGGTATTGCTATTTGATCCTCCATGTACCACTATACTGCCAAACTTCCTCCTAGATATCTTTTCATCCTCACCGTTCTTCTGGTTTTACCCCCACCCATCTGACTGTTCCTTCCCAGTGTCCTTTGATGCATCATTATACATATTCCATACCCTAAATATGTGTTCCCCAAAGCCATCTCCTGGGCCCTCTCCTCATTTCCCTCCACACCCTCTTTTGGTGACAGCTTCTCCTACAATGAGTTCAATAATTTTTATGTAGATGACTAAATTCTCTATGTCCAGTCCTAAATTGCCAGCTTTCTGTCGGAAGTCTCCACCTGGATGTCCTATTTGCCATATCAAACTCAATATGCTCAAAACAGAGCCTTTTTTCTTTGTAGGATAAAGCACCTACAAATTTCCTTATTTCTGCCAAAGGCACTGTCATCTTTCTAGTCACTCACATATACAACCATGGAATCATTCCTGATTCCTTCTTCTTCATCAACCCCCTTACCCAGTCTAGTTTTGTAAAGTCTTGTCAGTTCTACCTCCACTTCTTTCACATGCACCCCTATTCACAGGACCACAGTAGTTCAGGTTCCTGTCACTTTTAAATTGTACTATTTCAATAGGCTCCCAAACAACCTCCTGCCTTCAAGCTTCTCCCTTTTCCAATCCATCCTCCATATGGCTGCCACATTGATCTTCCTAAAATACAGGTCTAACCAAGTAGCTCCCTTATTGAAGCATACTCGGCAATTGCCTGTTGTCTTAAGAATAAAATATAAATGCCTCTACTTGGTATTTCAGTCCTGTACAATCTGTCTCTAGCTTACCTCTTCAGACATCTGCCTCTATGCCTTTTTATGTTAATGTTAATTCTTCCTCACCTCTGCATCCTGGAATGCTTATTTTCTTTCAAAATTCAGCTTACATACTACTGCCTATAAGAAGTCTTTCTTGATATCCCCAAAGTAAAACAGTTCATAAAGGGCTGGGCTTGGGTTCAGAAAGACCTGCATTCAAATCCAGCCTTAGAAATTTGGGCAAATCACCTAACCTCTTTCTGCCTCTGTTTCCTTAATTCTAAAATGGAGATTATAATAGCATCTATCTAAATCCCAGGGTTGTTGTGAAGATGAAATGAGATAATATTTATTAGGTACTTAGCACAGTGCCTGGCATATTGTAGGTATTTAATAAATACTTTTTTCCTTCCCTTCCTTCACCTTAAATTTCTTATGCTTCTTTCCAATTTCATGTTGTAACTATCCCTCATTAGAATGTGACTTCATAGAATAGTCGGTTTTGTTTTTGTCTATGCACTGCCCTCCCTACCATATCTAGCACATTGTAGATGCTTACTAAATGCTTGTTGAATAGAATTGGATGCTTTTGGTTCTTTCAATTGTGGAAACTTTTTGTCCCTTTTACTTCTATCCAGCAAATGAGAGCTCCCCAATTTGTAGCAGCTCTTGAATTCCCAGGAAGTTACTGAAGCCAAGACTGCTGTTCTCCATCTGTCTCTGGCACCAAAACAGAGATCCTTCTTTTGCATGCAGAACTCATCATTTTAATACCCATATTGTTCTCCACCAGATTAGGCCACCAGAATCTTCAGCTGGTACAAGATTCACGTGGGCCCCGTAAGAATATTTCCTGCATAGACTAGAACTTTAACTCCTGCCAGTGGAAATCTGACAAAAATCTCTGGATTTAAGTGTACTTCTTTTCAATGTGGGTTACAGATATCTTTTTTTTTAACCCAATACAAGAAAAATAAGTTTAAGACCCTATTAAATATTAATCGAAAGAAAAATTGAATAAATTAAAAATAATTTCTCAGTTATTATTGAATACTAGATTCTCCCCACAAAGCACTTTTGTTTAATGGCAAATAGCAAGTAAGCCTTCCTTCTAGTTCTCGGAGGTCTGTTAGAGTGCTTTTATTACTGAATTTGAATTACAGTAGAGCAGAAACTCAACTTTAGATGTTCACCATGAATTCATGCTGATCATATCAGTGGTCCCTGTCAAATTAGCAGACATTATGAACCTGCTAAAGAGGAGATACAATATCTGTATCTGATATGTCTTTTTTGCAGGTTTTTAGCTGTTGTACTATCTGTAAAGCCTAAACTATTTAGATTATCTGTATATCTTAATTGCACAAGTCCACATATAATTCAATACATACCCATCTCTATTTTCATTTCTCAGTCAGAATTAGATTCTAACTACTGAATAGCAATGGTGAGAGTGTATGTTTGTCTCTTATGTTTTCAGTATCTTATAAGATAAATTTGTTTCTGATCAATTGTATATTCTTAAATTTTTGTTATTGTTCAGTTGTGTTCATGACCCCATTTGGGGGTTTTCTTGGCAAAGATAATAGAGTGTTTGTAATTTCCTTCTCCAGCTCATTTTTTTACATATGAGGAACTGAGGCAAAATAGTTTGTCAAAATTTCAAAACCATAAAAGGTATCACAAAAACGTAACTTTTTCCAGTGGCACATTGTATAGAGCGCTGAGCCTGGTGTCAGGAAGTTTGTATCTGGCCTCAGACACCTACTAGCTGCATAGCCTTAGGTGAGTCATTTACCTTCTATCTGCCTCAGTTTTCTTAATTGTAAAATAGGGATAATAACAGCACCTATCCCGCCAGGGTTGTTGTGAGGATGAAATGAGATGATAATTGTAATGTGCTTAGTGCAGCACCTGGCCTATTATATAAAAGTTAGCTATTATTATTACTAGGTACCAACTGAACTATAAAATACTGAACTATAAAAATTTGAAAAAGAATAGAATTGAAGTATTATGACTATTTTTGCCGTTTCCCAAAAAATTGTATGTGATCTGAAAGAACTGTTGGTCTGGACACTTATTGATTTCTGAAGAGGAAAGAAAAACAAGCGTAAAAGTTAAATGTTTAATAAAGTGTTAGTTCTGTAAGTCAGTGAGTAAGCAGTATGTCATTAGCTACTTTTGAAGTAACTCCTCCTTCCTTGATGTTTTCAATCCAGACTTCCCTTTCAACATCTTTTTGAGGTAGAATTTAATTCAATTTCATATAAATGGTCACCTTTCTCTGAGCTAAGTAACAGTAGACTTGTAAGGTACTGGCATTTCTATTTAGTGCACTTTACAGATACTGCATTGTTGTTTTTTTTATTTTTTACAAATTGAAGATTTGTGACAACCTTGCATCAAGCAAGTCTATTGGACCCATTTTCCCAACAGCAAATGTTTACATCATGTCTCTGTGTCACATTTTGGTATTCTCACAATATTTCAAACATTTTCATCATCATTATTTCTATAATGGTGATCTGTGATCAGTTCTTTGATGTTACTATTTTAATTGTTTTGGGATGCTACCAACTGCACCCATATAAAATGGCAAACTTAATCAATAAATGTTGTATGTGTTCTGACTGCTCCACCAGCCATCTGTTCCCATCTCTCTCCCTCTGACCCTCCTATTCCCTGAAATACAACAATATTGAAATTAAGCCAGTTAATAACTGTGCAATGAATGGCCTCTAAGTGTTTAAGTGAAAGGAAGAGTCAATTGAAGCAGCAAACTTCATTGTTGTCTTATTTTAAGAAATTGTTACAGCCACCCAACCTTCAGAAATCACCCTAATCAGTCAGTAGCCATAAACATAAAGGCAAGACCCTCAACCAGCAAAAAAGATTACCACTCACTGAAGGCTCAGGTGATAGCTAAATTTTTTCTTTATCAACAAAGAGTTTTTAAATTAAGGTATGTATATTTGTAAGGCGTAGCACTATTGCACACTTAATAGACTTTGTAGAGTGTAAACATAACTTTTATATATACTAGGAAACCAAAAAATTCCAGTGACTTACTTTATTGTGATAATGGCTTTATTGTGGTGATCTGGAAGCAAACTCACAGTATCTCAGAGATATGCCTGTAATAATCGAATATTTTAGAGTAAGTAAGCAAACATTTAAATCAAAGAATAAAGAGTACAAAGGATGAGGAAGAACACAAATGACTAACTCTCTAATTTCCTTACATATTTTCTTCTACATAATAAGTGAACATTAGGTAATACTAAATGTATTGTAATTTTTTTAGAGCTAGGAGGATAAGTGGAAGAATCAGGACTAGATTTCAGGACTCTTGATTCTCATTCTATTTTTTTTTCTCTTTTCATGTTAATTGCACAAAAGCCTAGGAGCCATGAAGTCACGGGAAGAGTGATGAACTTGGCAGATTAGTTAGGTCCTGAGTTTGAATCCTAGTTCTACCACTACCACCTATGAGACACTGAACAAATCACTTAATATCTCAGGGTCTCAGTTTTTCATCTGTAAAAGGAAGTAATTCAATAAGATGACCTGCCAGGTCCCTTCCAGCTCCAAATCTGTAATCCTGTGAATTAGACAGTAGTATAATTGGAAGATCCCAGAAAAAAAAAATGTCCCACAAAAAAAAAACTTCCAACCTTTCATGCCCTGAACTTACTATTAAAACTTTATTAAAGGTTATCCCCAATTAAGATGGAAATACCCTAGGAAGGGTAACACATGGTATATTTAGAAAAGCCTATGGTTTTTTTCAGGCCTAGACTCTTACCATCCAATGGGCTATTAAATCACTACCCATCTCCCTCTCCTAATTCTTTACTTGGTATGGCCTCCTTTATGCCCTGTCCCTTTATCTGGACCTCATCGCTATATCTAGAATCACATATTTCAGACTATGACTTTCACTTTCTTAGTTTATCAGTACTTCCCGATGGGACCCCAGTGATGGAAAACCAGTGAAAAATGCCTGATTGGGACCTCAATCCTCCTATAAAATACCTGAGCTGCTCTGATCCTCTCCTGGCCATGACCTCCACTAAGGTAGTTGCTATGACCCCAATAATGCCTGAACTGTTTTTGAATGTGGACTCTGGAGTCCTAGACTATCACAAACTCCCTCTTCCTAACTCAGCCCGGGGCCCATCATGCCTAAGACTGTCTTGTGTGACTTCTCTGGCTGTCTCCTTCCCTGCCTTGCCCCTTTCCAATCCTTCTTTAGCTATTTCTGGCCTATCCCCACTCAAAGGGGCTCGTTGAGCTACCCTGCTGTGCTCTCCTTGTCCTTGACTCTCCTTAGTTTGGGTATTTCCAGTTAAGCCATGTATCTTTCTTTTGTTTGGTTGGTTTTTTGGCCAGACCTGAGATTTCATTGGAATAAGAAATTCCTGGTAAGGAAGCTTCTTTACTAATACAAATTGGTGATTGCTTTGAAACGTGTAACCTTGGAAAGTTGTCTAGAGTGCTGACAAGTTAAAGGATTTGCCCAAGGTAATACCGCCAGTCAGAGGCAATGCTTGAGCTCTCATCTTCTCAACTTAGAAGCCAGTTCTCCATATTTCACACTAGCTCTCTTAAACACCTTTCTTTAAAGATATCAACTCCAGAGGTCAGCATTAAGTGGTTCTCTGATTCTTTTGAGAAAGTCTTCTATTTCCAGCAATCATATAACAGTCTGAATTGAACTTAAATCAGATATTTTCACCATAGTATGAATTGGTTAATCACTTTAACTTATTTCATTTATTTATTTATTTATTTATTTATTCATTCATTCATTCATTTATTTATTTTAACATGTGAAATTAGAGGAGTTTTGGTAGGAAGAAAGAATAAGAACATGAGGACCAGGTTCAGAGTTATGGCAGGACCCCAGTGTTCCCCATTTCCCCCCAATTGGGAGTAGCTTTTCCTGGGATTTGATTTGTCCCTGTTCCCTGAGGCAGCTTCCTGGTCACCTAAAAGCATAAAGGCCCCACCAACATGAAGCTGGACCTCTCCCCTCTCTGTCTCTTGGTGAATTTCTGATCACACAAGTCCCAAATCCCTGCATTGCTGACTAGACATACATACATGTGAGACATGGGGGTGGGGGTGAGAGAGGGTCTCATTCAAGAAGCTAACCATCATTGTATCCTTATTATATACCTTGCTGTTGAAAATGAATAAAGTAAACCTTCCTTTGTTGACTGTTAAATGACTTGAGAGTGAGTCATTTCATCTTAAAATCAAACCTGAACTAAACAGATGCTAGCATTAGGCCCAACCCTAACTAGGAACCACAGAGAGGACCAGAAAGGGAAGTACTGTAGTATGAAAAGGGAGCTACAATGGCTTTGGGCAAGGAGCACAAAAGCTACCTATTTCACAATATATGGAGTTGGCATTCCTAGGCACTTTAGAAGATTCTCTACTTACTCCAAATATAAGGGGGGGGGGGATGTCTCTGTGATCAGTTCCTTGTATCCGCTCCATGCTTTTTTTTTAATTTTTTTATTGCCAACATGTATGCACAAGAGCCATAAACAAAGAGCCAGTGACCTAGTTTCTGCTCTCTGAGTCAAAGCCCTGTGATGTTGGACACTGTATGTGCTTGCAGCATAGCCTCTCAGATAAATTCACAAGCATCTATCAGCCAGCAGCAATTCTTGCCATTCTTTCTGATGTCTGTCTTAACCATATAGAATAACATCAGGACCTGAGAAAAGTGCAGAATCTGTGCTTTGGAGAGTCTCTTTCAATGTTTTTGAAATTCTTATTTGCCTAGAGCTTGATTTCTTTAAGGACTTATCACATGTCTTTCAAGACTTTTGCTCTTGTAATGATTCGGATGCTTATACACCTCTAAAAATAAAGACTTTTCCAGAAACTTTCTCTTTAACTGAGACCAGGTAAATTATGGTTCTATTTGGAGGGTGCCATATCTACTTCTGTGTTTGCCACTGGGTCAATATAATTGTTGATCAGAGGTGTTCATCAAAAGTTTATTCTCCCTGTTTTAATGACAGTGGCTTCATTGTATCTACTTATTTTCACTTTCAAACTTGTTTCATACATTGAATCAGGTCTCTTTATTTCAAGGAAAGAATTAGCAAGAAATATACCCACAACCTATTTCTCCCCTCACAGTTTCTGCTTGCATAGATTTTAAAATTCTTTACTTTTCGTGTCATAGGCTGAATACAGCCAGCTTCCAGTCATAAATTTTAAAGAAGTGACCCATGGTTTAGCCAAGGAGAATAAAAGGGATAATACTGAATAGACAAACTCAAGGGAATTCATAGGATCATAGATTTAGCATTGTAAAGGGCCCTAGCCAATTCCTTCATTTCAAAGATGAAGAAACTGAGTCCCAGAAAGTTGAAGTTTCTTGGCCTTGTCCCTGTAGGAAGGAGAGAGAATAAGTATTTTTTTTTGTTTGCTTTGGCAATGGGGGTTAAGTGACTTGCCCAGGATCACACAGCTAAGTAAGAGTCAAGTTGTCTGAGGTCAGATTTGAACTCAGGTACTCCTGACTTCAAGGCTGAGCTCTATCTACTGTGCCACCTAGCTGCCCCTGGGAATAAGTATTATTAAGTGCCTGCTATGTGCCAAGCACTGTGCTAAGTGCTGTACTGTTATTATCTTAGCTGATTCTCACAGTAGTCCTGGGAGGTACATGCTACTATTATCCCCATTTTATAGTTGTGAGAACTGAGGCAGACAAGGAGTAAATAACTGGCTATGATCATTAGAAAGTATTTGAGTCTGAATTTGAGCTCAGGTCTTCCTGAGTCTAGGCCCAGCCTTCTATCCATTGTGCCCTCTACTTTAGGAAGTGGCCAAACCAGAATTTGAACACAGGTCCTCTAGCTGCAAATCCAATTCTTTTTCCACTATTATGCAGCCTCCAAACTGATATGGGAATTACCTGGAGCCAATATGAGATTTAACCTTTCAGAGTAGTGAATGCATTACATTATCCACATAATTGCCAAAATAATCTTCCTAAGCACAGGTCTGACCTTGTCATTCTCTTGGTAAAGGGTGTTCAATGGTGAATATAGTGCTGAGTCCAGTTTCTGAGATAAAATACAAATTGCCCAGCTTAGATATCCAAAGTCCTAAAAATCTGGCTCTAGCCTCTATTTCCAGAGTTATCTCATACAATTCCTTTTTATGCATTCAATGTTTCAGGCAAACTGGCTTACTCACTGTTCAAAGAATTTGCTATTGCATTTCTTACTTTCATGTGTTTGCATAGAATAATGCTTATGCCCGGACATTCTCCCTTCACCTTGACCTCCTTAGCTTTCTGCAAGGATCAGCTCAGGTACCACTTCCAGCCCAAAGTCTTTCATTATCCCTGTAGTCATTAGTGCTGTAGCCCTTATCAAATTATATTGCATTTATCTGTTTTTGTGTTGTATCCATTCAGTGAACTGCAAAATCCCTTGGATATTTTTCAGGTATATCTTTGTATCCCTAGCACCTGATACAGTGCCTTGCATATGACAAATGTTTAATTAATACTAGTCGAATTGAACCTTGCCTTTGATAATGTTTCATAGGCATAGATAAGTTGTCTTCTTTCTGAAATGGGGACTAGCACATGCAAAGACCATTTCGGACAGCGCCTCTTCAAGTGGAAGAGCCTGAAAGCCTGCTTTCAGGATACTCCAGATGACATGTAATAGACGGGCTTTGGAAAGACTTTGTAGAATGCATATACATTGGGTAACTGGTTCTAGTCTGCTAACCATGTGGTAAACCTTTACATCACTTATAGAAATGGAACTGGAGCTGCCTTTGCAAAGCCAAAACCTCAGCTATTTTTCCCCTTGACTATTCTATTCACTGTTGGACTCCTTCACTGATGGAGTGTGGTGAGAAGCAATATAAGACTACCATTTGGCCCCATGAAAAAAATTATCCTTAATTCTTAGCCTCTGCATTGGTTCTTTTTTCATTTTAGGTGAAGGAATTGGAGGATCCGACCTTGTAGGTTTCAAAAGGTCAGGAGAGAGAGCATTCAAATATTCATTCATCCTAACATCCTGGTTTTTAAATCAGCCTAGATGAGATCATGACTCATCCAGCAGTCAAGCTGCGTTTGGCAGTG